ACTTACAAGGCAAGTTTTTCTACGTGTGGGCCACATAGTTAGCTTGATCTTCAAGCTAACAACATGTGTGGCACATGGCCAACTTGTTGACCACGTTTCTAATCCAAAAAGTCAATTAAAGACACCTATGAAGTCAAAGCAGCGTCTAGGAAGTTTCTAGGAAGCTTCTATATTAAATATTATACAATTAACTTACTTTTATCTACTTTTACTTACTTCTACCTATTTCTATATGTAATTATTAGCTTACATGATTATGGCCGTGACAGTTGCAAATTAGAATGTACCCTAAGTAATTTTAAATTATCAATACTTGTGAGAATAGATTTTTTTTGTTATAAGAAATACTCTAAATTAGCCATTTAAGTGATTTATATGACATACTTTATAAAAAAGAAAAATTTGTTTAGGTGTGATACATCTTCACAATATGTTGTCAATGTTGAAATCATATAAGGTCTTATTGACAAACATATAAGAGATAGTGGTGTAACAAAATGACTTAAGGAAAAAAAAAATAGAAATGTCAACTAGACACTATTTGGTGTAGTGATAGTGCATGATTTGGTTGCAAAAGATAGAAACAAAAAAGAAGACTATTAAGGCAAAGTTTGTGGCAATCAATTTCAATAAAAATAGGCTCTTGTATGCAAGACAAGATATCCTTATTGCAATAAGATTTCTCTGATCAATATTCAACATTGAAGGAAAATTCTTCAAGCACAAGTAACCACCATGCAAGTTGTCTCAAGCATATGGATGTGTTCTGCAAAAACTTTAAGGCTTTGCCATTGATATGGATGGTGAATTATTACCCAAAATATAAAGCTTGAATTCTTATGTAGGGTGCCATGTAGAATGACAGAAACATTGGCATCCTGTTTGGAAAGTTTCCCTAGCTGTAGGGGGATTGTTGCTACATGGATCCAAATAAGAAAGATCTCCGTAAACATTTAATTTAGAAAAAAAAGAAGAAGATGTTCAGTCACCGATCCCCGTTGGCAACGGTGACAAGCTTTCAAGCGGGTGCAGGAGAGCCTGGGGGAGAGGGCGGAGGGGTGACGTTCCCAAGGGTGGGGAGTTGCGGGAACATGTGGCGGATTAGGGTTTGTGTCTTCAGCGGGGTGAGTGGCGCCGAAACCCTATAAGTTGTGCCATCGGCAGGCCCAGCGAACCACAGCGGGAGTGTGTGATTCTCAATCTCGGCACCGGACCGGGTGTACGTAGAGTGGCACCGGTGTTTGGCTGGTGTTGGTATGGTTAGCCCAGGGTTGATTGTTGATTGTTGTGTGGCGCCCATGTTTCCTTGAGTCGGAGCTGCGGTTTTTCTTGGCCCCGGAGCGCCTACAGGGTGGGGCGTGCGTTGTGGATGTGGAGGTTGGATGTGTGGTCGGGTCATTGTGCGCTGGTGTCTGTGTGGACATAATGTGTTGGAGGACCGCAATGATTAGAATTGGTAATCAGCCGGCTGGCTGAAACTTCCATAAAAAAACATACAGAACATCTAAGGGTCTGAGCGGATGTGGGTGTTGCGAAGGATGGTTAGGAGGCAATCTGACTAGAGTCACTCGTGTGCTGGTGATCAATAGCACATAGAGCGCTGAAAGTTGCCGAGAACGATGTCACGGGCAGCTGTTCGACCTGACCCTGAAGAATCTACCTGCGCAGGAAGAAGCTTCCGTGAACAGCGTGAAAATGAAGTGTGTGAGGGTGAGTGTGGGGGGAGGGAAATTGTGTCGGTGAGGAGATTGATGTCATGCACCACACTGAGTTAACTGTGCTGAGATGACAATAACACCATAAGAATCACTGAGACATGGACTTCTGGGCAGTAGGGGGGTTTTAGGAGTTTCGTTTTGCGGGGTGTGGGAGCGGTAGGTGCAGAAGGTTGTGAGGAAGAGTTGGGCGTGGAATGATGGACGGGCAGGTGCGGAGGCATGTGTGGGGCTGGAATTAGGGTCGGATGGATGGGGGTTGCTGTGATGATACCAAAGTGTTTCGGACTAGAGTTTCTGATCTGGGGTAGTAGCCAGCATTGAAGAAACCACTCTTGGCTGTCTGAGCATTGGGGTTGTCGTGTATGAGGGTGGTTGGCATCGCGAAGCTGCGTGTGCAAATCTTAAGTATGCCGACAGTGAAGGCGGCTGATGTGTAGTTTATATGTGTGGCGAAAGGGTGAACTGTATTGTGACGAGGTTGGAGGAGAGAATCTTTTGGTCTATTTCACTGCAGCCTAACACATGAACGGAGGTGTGGAGGAATAGCACCCCCAAGACAACCCTGAAACTAACAACATGTAGCAGTAACACAAGGATTCATCGAATGGTTCCAATAAATCTGAACCATAACCTACATGAGTGCAATCTGAGTAATTGAACAGTATGGAAAGGCTCACGCAATAAATATCTTAAGAGTATTTTCCTGAGAGCTGATGACGGATGTGGGGATTATTCTCTCAGCCGAGCAGGCTCGTGCATGGTTTAACTGTGGATACGTAGATTTTTACGAATTGTTTGCTTTCAGATGGATTGCTGGTTAAAATCTCGAGATGTGATTATTGCTGATTTGCACAACCTTTGTTCCTTCACAAATGAACAAGGGCCATCCTACTTAAAGATAGGGGTGAAAGGTTGGACAGGAGATATTGCAATAAGTCATCCGGGGTTGCATTGTTACCTCGAAAGAGAGAATCGGAGTGCAAATCCGAAAGATCAAATCGAAGACTTAATCCTTGCTGTGCCCGACGGTGCAATATCACACAATGAACTGTGAGCGTTACTCGAGATCCATTAGATGCCTCGACTAGGAATTGGACACGGCCATGTAACCAAAAGTTAGTCCTCACAATCGAAGGGTTGGGTTCCAGGTGCAGAGACGCCGAGCATAGTCTGTGCGTTGCACAAGATCAGAGTTGCTTCGTTTTGAGGATGACTTTGTCATGCTCTCGAGGAAGGAAGGACCCTATGGACTCATCAAATGTTAAGCTCACTGATGAGTATGAGGCGATGGACCTTAGAGAGATTCACTGCCGCCTTAAAAAGTGTAGGGTTTGAAGGTTCCAGCCACCCACTCCTCGACCTCGTTCCAATCTTTGAAAGTCCATTGGAGGTTCAATGTGGAGGATCTCATGAGATATGCATGGACGATTGCATGCCAATTAAAACACCATGACGTGGATGGTGAATCCGACCAGTGTAAAGAGGAATGAGGTGAGATATGAAATACTCAATGTGGCATGGAAAGGAGCAGTGGGTTCACTTGTGTATGTAATAGTGGGTACAACAGCGCAAGCTGCAATTGTAATTACCTCCCAGAGCCACCATGTGGCCACACCATTTTACGGTAGTTGGGTGGTTGAGTAGGTAGACTCCAGACATCAACGAAGGCCATTGTGCATCTGATGTTGTAACCTGCAGACCAGCACATTGAGCATCAGGAAACTGTGAGCTCGATCGGATAAGAATTCCTTAACTTCAATTTTAGAGGTACTTTTTAATTTTGATAGGAATAGATGGTTGTTACTTATTTCTTACTTCTGTTAATAGTTTGTACAATTTACAAACTATCTCAAATACAACATGAATGTGTACTTGTTTGAGTAATTGCAACCGTTGAGGAATAGATATGGGTATAAATATATGATGTCTTTAATTGTCCAACTTGTTGCAATGTACATTTGTTTTCAGTTGTTAGTATAATAACCATGTTATCTTGCCAGCTTGGATTCTTTATTAATTTCTCCCTTAATGTTAATTTTAACCAGTGTGTAATTTTTATTTTTTTTAGTTTGAACTTTATTTGCATGTATTATGTTATCATAATCAACTTGTCACACCTTGTTTTTTATGATAACCAATTATTGAGAACCTAAAAGAGTTGGTATTTTTATCATGCATACATATAGAAAGAGTTTATGATATAGGTGAATCTTCAGTTAAATAAATATAGATTTGTATTATTTTATATTTTTAATTTTACTTTGGTATTCACTTTTACAAAAAAATCTATAAGTTTTTATCACACTTGTTATTTCATTTAAATGTGATCATAAGAATTTAAAGTTGAAAGATTTGTAACCAAGCCTGTTCACTATTACAATTAATATAGGATACATAATTGTTGTAAGTAATCATAAATTTATCAACTACAGGATTTGGCTTAAGCATAATTATTACACGATTATACAAATTATTTGATTTTTGTACACATTATTATTTTTATATTATTTATTCTCTTTTTTCACTCAACTACAACATCAGATGGAACAAACTTTTTTTGTTTATATATATATATATATATATATCTGTATAATCCATGCCATTGGATACTATGATCTCTAGCACATCCACATGTTCCCTTGTGCTCCCTTGGTTCCTCACTTCCTGCTTCATGGAAAATCAAAAGACTTCTTTGTCTCTATGTTACACCCAAGCTTTCTCATTAAATAGTTATATAAGTTAAGTACAACTGTCATCCTTGCTTTCATATTGTTTTTATTTTTGAGTTAAAGAAACAGCTTTCACAAACTCTATCCAATTTCCACACTTATTTTTCTTGTGGAAATAGTTCACGCAGAGTTAAATCATTATCCCAGTTGGTAAAAATCAGGAATAAAACAGATAATCTGACGCACATCCTTTGATGCATACCACACAGACCTGACTTTTTCTCTGTTCAAAAATCAAACCAATTATAACTTACTTTGTATCAACAATCACAAAATACTGTAGAGCTAATCGACATGAAATTCATCTTCAAACCATCGTTGCAGGAGGTTAAACCCAGTACTGTGAAATGAGAGCAACGACAGCGGTTCAGTAATATCCAGTTAGCTACAACTCACCTGAGTATAAGCAGGATATCTTTTTTAGACAGGGACGATACACGGGTGACACTGGATACATGGGGAGGTATTTATACTATGGTAGAGGATCGGGCAGGACGTCAGGGTGCTAATGCTTTCCCAGGTATATGCATCTCCGAGCAACCTAAACCGGGGTCCGCGAGGGGCGTTCATGAAGTCGCCAAGGTGAGGATCTAAGCTTTTTCCCGCCGCACCCGAGCATTGTGTTTGTGTGTCTGCGATCAACATCTCCTCGATCGATCCATCGATCGCGGCGCTGCTGTTGCGCAACCATCCACAACTCGTTTCTCCAGTGTACGTTGCCTCCCTCCCTCTCGCGCTTCTTCTGGATCTCTGTAGTGTTTCATTTGGGCTTGTTTTGGGATGTTTCCACTAGGGGTCCTGGCGTGGCTGCGGTTTTTCGTTTCTGGTTTTGATCTGGAGTGAGTCCCCTTCTGTGGTTGGTGTATACTTGTGAGCGTGTCGAGTGTACCCACCAATGCACGTGTGCAGTGATGCAGTCTTGGTTTGTAACGTATCGACACGTGAAGTTGATTTATGATAAGCTAGGCTTTGTTTCTCGGGCAAACTCTCAAGAGGATCGTGGTAAACTCTCAAGAGGATCGTGGTGCAATTAGTGCTTAGATTTGAGGTGCTAGGTTGGGTTTGAGTAGCCGAAGGTGTGGGCTTGCTGAGTGTAAGCGGCTGATTACTTCGTGGTTCACACCGCTCTGTATCCTGTTTGCTACACGGACTTAATGGAATTTTTACTCATAATCCGATGTACGGAATTACCCTTTCGTTTTGAGTCTTCCTGTTTTTTCGCTTCGGAGAGTAATATTTTTGCAGAAGCTTTTCTTACATTGTTGTGGCGTGTTGTTTCTCTATGTAGACAACCATGGGGTTTATATCCTTTGTCGGGAGGGTCACGTTCTCTGCGATCTTTATTTTGGCTGCCTGGCAAAAGTAAGTTTCCTTATTGTGTTTTTTTCTTCAGTTGGAAGGGATTGACGGTTGTTGTGTATTTCCTTATCATGAGTAGGAAGACGTGGAATATTTTTAGTCAACATTGTGATGTGTTGTGATTTTTGAAACTGAATTTATTTTGTACACGAGGATTGCATTTGCCTTTTGATTTTTTGTAATTTTTAGTTTTTAGTTTTTTTTTTCTAGTTTTACGCGTTGTGTCACAAAAGCAACGTTGGTTTTGTTTTATCTTTGTTACATTACGACAACATGTTCTGTTTCATGAAGTGACGAAACGGATGCCTCTTTTGTTGAACGTAGTCAAAATGTGCCGCCCCAATTTTTCTCGTCATACGTCATGTACGCAGTATGAAGTAACGGTGTAACCTGGGTCGTTGATATCAGAATCCAAGACTTCGGAGATGACGGAGGCTCTGCTTTGAAGACGTTGGAACCCAAGTTGGATCTGTTCAAGGGTCATATATTCGAGACACTTCATTTCAAGGTTCCACCTGTTGAGGTGTGTTAACACATGTTTCCTTCGATCTATTTTTTGTGTAGTATTTGTTCGGGTCCGTATGTCGTGAAATCCTGCTTACATTTTAGGTGGATATCTTGCTGCTTGGTTCCTGCTTCCCTCTTTAACTACTTAGTCGCTATCATATACAACATTAAGAAGCTGTATAAGTTGGAGTGAGGTCTGAATGAGCCCACACATCTCTCTTTTCCTCTCTCTCTCTCTCTCTCTCTCTCTCTCTCTCTCTCTCTCTCTCTTTTGTACCCTCTTTTTCTTCTTCAGTCTAGCGTGCTTATTATAAGTGGTTCCTTGCCACAGACCAAGCATTTGTTGATGGGAGCTATCGCGTTGGAGGGTTTTGGCGGACTTCTCTTCACAGTGGGGAGTAGTGTCGGTGCATATTTGCTGGTCAGTACCTTCACTTGAAATCCTAAAGAAGATAGTATTCATTCTGTAATTGGAATTTCACAACCATCATGCACGTGCTCTTAGATTTTGTTACTTGTAGATGTCTGTTAAACCTTGTGACTGTGCTTGTGTGTTTTTTTTCTAGCTCATCTTCTTGGCCGCCATCACCCCCATTATTCACGACTTCTACAACTATGAGCTTTCCAGCCCAGAGTATGTCCACCAGTTCAACCAATTTCTGAAGGTTAGAATATTTCACGATGCTTCAATCGTACTTAAATTGGGTCTTTTTGTGTGCTTCTTGGAAAATCTAGAAGAATTTTCTACACGGAAGTTTCTTAGTAATTGGTCTTGGCGTTTGCAGAATTTGGCACTTTTCGGAGCCCTTTTGTTCTTCTTGGGTATGAAGAACTCCACTTCCCGCCAGAACAGAAGGAAGCAGCCGTCTAAGTCCAAGGTTCAGTAGATTTTAGATCTGGAACTCTGTGCAGTGATATTGACAAACGGCAGTTATGAAGGGATTGTAGCGTGGTGTGCCCTACTTGCCGCTCTCTGTTGTGTAGTCATTTTGGGAAGTTAGCTGAAGGACATCAATTTTGTGATTCCTCTTTTTTTGAAAACTGAAATTATGCCAGTATGCATGTCTGGTATGCTTGCGGTGTTCGGTTTTTAAATCAATCATCTTATATTTTTTTGGACGAGCAATATTGTTGGTTGTCTTGCTCTCATCTCGGATAGTGTCACAAATTCGTTTATGACGTTGTTATTATAAAGCAGTTTAAATTGTAACAATTTTGACTTGCGCAAATTCTGCGTGCACGTTGCTAACCGAGCCTGTACGTTTCTTCATTACATCTATTTGGGGGATATCATTGATGTTCTGGGAGGTACTATGTATGTATCCACCTGTATTTGTTCAGTGCCAACTAATGGCATTTATCATTCTGCCTCCAGTTATTTCCCTGCCGTGTCCCATGGGTTCACGTGCATTGTCGGAACTGGCACTTGCTTTAGCGATCGTATTATCTTTACAAGTATGGACATGGATTCTGCCAGCGTGAATTTCGACGACGCCAGGGTTGCGTAACATTCAGATTCTGCCAGCAGAGGATCGCCGAAATGAAACAGAACATTCGAGTATTTCGATTTTACTGTACCATTTAATTGGTTGAATTTAGCTGCCAGTATATTATCTTTTGTTTGACCGTTAATCATTTCTTATGAGATACCTTCCCAGCCCGAAGGCAAAATTTATCTTTGCTTAACAATAGCTAGTGCTGTTGACATGCTTCCGTGGTAGTGTTTCCTCTATATTTTTAATGAAAACTGACAACTCTTTTCAAAATTTCAATGCAATAAATTCAATGTAAATTAATTCATCACTCTGATTATGGGTTCTGTTCGGGAAGTTTCCTCAGTGTTTTGTCTTGGAAGAAAAGTAGTTGCACAAGTATCTTTTGATAGTTCATTTCTTGTTATTAGATATTGAAGTAATTAACACCCATTAATACAATCATCCAAATCTCCACATTATAAATAGGGGAATGTTAAATAGACCCAGGTTTTTACTAAATTGACCCACTAATCATGACTATCATATTCTTCATCATGAGTAGGTCGATTTTGTAAAAATCTGGATCTGTTCCACATTCCCCTGCAAATAATGCAAATTTAAGGCACTTTTTTAAACCAAACACATGTCAAATTTTAGTAGCTTGTAGGCATAGATTGTATGGTTGTTTTCTCATTAATCAAATGGAGGAAGTGATTTTTATTACTGTTATGTACGAATTAGCAATTATGTTTTACTGTTCTTAAACATCAGTTGACCTTTAATTAGAGATATCCGTTAATAAAAAGATTTACAAATTGAGTCATTGAAATTCATCTCCCCCAATATTTGTTTTCCACAACTTTTTGACCAAATTAAAGAAATTTCATAAGATTTAATAAAATCTAAATTTGAAGAATGCAAATACTTGAGCATTCTTCTCATCAACAATTCTCATGGTATACAGTTTAAACACAAACAATGGTTATTTGAATTATAAATCCGATTTAATAAAGATTCTTCTACTGTTCCGCATACACAGAAATACCTACTTTTTCTCTGCATTTTCTTCACAATTACTAAAGAAATTTTATACAGAACGAGGCCCGAGATGGGGTGTACCTGATCCACCTCACAATAGGCAAAACTCCCAACATGTAATCCAAGCCAACACCAATTTCTTCGCCTCGTGGGTTGAGTTCGCGGTTGGAGGCTACCGCCTTTGTCATCTTGGGATTGTGGAAAGATATGGGTTTTCCTGCTTTTGCTATTTATGTGAACCGAGGCTGTGATTCGCACAATTCAGCTGAGGAACTGTGCCTTGGGATTCACTCACCGAGTGGGAATTGGAAGGTGGGTGTGACAATTGTACCTCCGACAGTGCCCTCATTACGAAGTTTCTATAAGACCGGTCCATTCAATCTGCCAACCGCAGGCTATGGAACATGCCCACGAGTCAGGATATCATTACGAGCTGTAATTCGATTTTGAGTACTGCCATCTGTATTGTTCCAGAAAATTGATGAAGGGGTGAGTGGTCTTCTTGATATACTCAAGAGTCTGGACTATCAAGCCCGAAACTAACATGCGTTTGAAACCATGCATTTAACGTTCAGAGAAGACATGGCAGACATTTCAGGCCAAGCATTTCGAAGCATTATCAGAACATCAGAACCCTTTGAAAACATGCCGAGGTGTTTACAGGAAGGACTCAAGAAGATATGGAAACATCTGCTTGCTTAAGCATTTACGGGTCAACCGAAAGCAAGAAGCTCCTGGCTTTGCAAGCCAAATAATGTGAAGTCCAATCACTGATTCTCTGTATTTCCTAGGGTGCAACACGTTCTCACTGGAGTATACGTAAAATCTAGGCCCCGATGTTCCCTAGTCCTGCTATCCGTCTGTATATGGCCTTATATGTGGAGCCTCCGTTTCGTTCCACCTGCACAACAAGGACACAAAGAGAATTATTATGGACACCATCTTGAATTTTGAGAACATAAACGGGATCTTGAGAGCATTCTACTCATGACAATCGATAGCAATATAGCAAGCGTTACACATGACTCTACCTTTTGGCCTTCTTCGGTAGCATTTATCAAAAGTGGAACACACACGTCCTTCTCCTGAAAAAACAACGTTATGTTGTAGGATTATCGATCAAGATGTCCATGACATCACAATGTTTCCTATGCCTATCTCCATACTAACTTGTTAAATTGCCCAGCGGTTTGCTCTGGAAAAAACGCTATTCCACACAAAAATGTACTATTTCTTACTTAATGTCAATCATCAATAGCAGGAGTGTCCAATTTACCAGCTCTTCATCAGTTAACGGATGAAAGAGGGGATGAGCATCTAAATGTGCTTTCATCCACTCTCCTAACTCCTGAACGTCCGTTATTGTGTACAAAATGCCTGCCAAGGAAAATTTACACATAATTAGCAAGAAGTTACGCAAGAGGAACCTCAAAAGCAAACGAAATAGATTAAGTGGGCATCTCTACAACGACAGCCGCAAAGAAAACCTACGTTCATGTTATTTTAGTAAATGATTATGCACATCAATGCGAGAAGAATCTTAAAAAGAGTAATCAACACACGTCGCGACTCCCTTGACACCTAAGTTCAAAATGGTCATACCTCCAACAGCCATGATGTACGCATACTCGGCTAGCAAGGCGGTACTGTACAAAATTTCCATTTGAGTGAGATCAAGAGTTAGACATAAGCACTGCAACCTTCTTTAGAAATTAATCATATAGTGCACTACGAATGAGAGGCTGATCAAATAAAAAAACACCATTGAACTCTAAAAAAGCTACCCAGCATCTTGTTTAGATGTGTAAACACTTCCAACGAGATATTAACGGTACAGATGTGTTTCCGCCTAAGGAATGGCATGCAAGAATTAGTGTACTATACCTGATAATACGTCGTCGATGATTTTTCTCCTTAAAATGAGGATCAGGAAACAAAAAGAACATTTTTGTAAGCTGCAAACATGAAACACATGTTAGCATTAGAAGCATGAAAAATGACGTGAATTAAGAGTCAATGACCAAAAGATGGTGGTAAGAGTACTTCAAGTAAGCAGGCTTATGATAAAGCATACCTGGCCTTTCTCAAAGTAGTTTGGCAAGTATTTCATAGCATTGGTCCTCAAAACTGATATGTTTTCGTACTGTACAATACATATTCCACACATAACATCAAACCCTTAACCCTTCAACAATCCCTGAAGTTTAAATACTATCTAACAGAAAGATAATAGGGAAGATGGCATGTCTGTTGAGCATATCAGCGTATGAAGTTGTCACTAGAACCTGCAACTAAATGCCGATACATTGCTATCAACAGTTTCAATAAAAATGTATTGAATACCACATATACCGAACTCCTAACAAACATACATAAGCGGAATACACTTAACGAAGCCAACTCATACCTGTCCTGGATGTTGTTCACGTAATGCGACGATCCTTTCTTTCACATACTCGCTCACCTGACAATTGACATGTTACTACGATTAATAGAGAGGACCTCAGATGCCACAAAGTTATTGAAATACCCTGCCTATTCGTGTCTTCGCCAAAACTACTGAGACTAAAGTTTTCCGGTTAAGTCTTGCATCAATACTGGAAAAACTCAAACATTAGTATTACAATAGCCTATTAATGTTCCGACTAAAAATGGATCACATTTCAAATATAATAACTCTGATCATAAAAAGGTTATACCGATCCAAGGTGCAGAATTGTAGAAACACACCTTGTCTCTCAACTCCATCCCAACCATCAAAGTTTTAGGAAACAACGGTGACATCTGAACTGGGGGGTTCAACAAGACAACCGTCAGGTACTACAAATACAAAGGTGTGACCATTTTCCATAGAGCAAAAAACCACGTGAATTGAAACCACCCAGGCGTCGCTGCAATGATAAGCTGAAGTGAAATGTACAACAATACAATAAGTACTCAAGTATGCCGTAAACCAACAAACGAAAAGCTTAAAGATAGTGCTGGAGAGGTGTCACACTACAAGTAGTAAACCAAAAAATAAACCAACACAGCATCAAGATAAGAAGAAACAAATCTTAAAATTGGATGTGGAGCTCATAGAGCAGAAACAGACATTTCCTAGATGCACTTACCAATGAGACCACCGAAGCCGCAACCAATGTCGGCAAATCGAACCTTCAGATCTTTGTCCCCTGCACGGATTGCGATCCGCCACTGTTTAACTGCCTCCGAAGGGACTGTTAACATCCAAAAACCGAACCACTAAAAGAGTCACATCTTCCGCATTTGCAATGTCTTCCTCACCTGTAGTTTCTTCTTGAGCAAAAAACTCTGGAAAGCTTTCTGACCAGTCGAATTCGCTGGGCGTGGTTGGCCTGCCAGTAATTTATAGTATTTAAACTTCAGCCTTTCATTCCAATCCAGAAAGCAAAAGGAGCGAAAAATTCAGCTTTCTAGTTTTTGAGATTTTTACAGAGAAGTATTGAGAATAGTTCGAGCAAGGCTCGTTGTCATATTGGCACTTTGATTTTAAGTTATTATTCAAAGCAGGAGCTGGTAAATTATGATAAAAAATGTAGCACGAAATTGTCAAAGCAACCAGACACTTACACAGAGAATTGACAATCACTGAGAGGGTTACTGTGCGCCCGGGCTCTGTAAAACCTCTTCTTGGGTAATTGTCCTTTCTGTTTTCCTGCCTTGACTTGCGCCTCTTGCTCAGACCTCCTTTTGCCCTTTATAAAAGCCTTTGGCTCCTCTCCGACAGCGGAGACACTTCCATTCTTCTCAATTGCCTCATTTTTCTCCTTCACTTCTGAGGCTTCATGAGCGATATCGGCCGAGTCTTCGCCCGTCATGGCAGATACTATTCACCTGGTTCCGATACAATATGTAGATTGCAGCTCACCGTTACAGAGAGTTCATTACCACGTGATTTTTATAATATGCAAAACCGAAAACCTAAAAGCCACGGAGTTTAAGAACTCCAATAAGCTACAGGTGTACCTATCGTGAAGTCTAAGTATTTCAAAAAGAATTCAAAAAGTAATGAACACTTCCAGCATCAGTCTCACAAGACAGAAACTAAAAACCCCCAAACGACGGGCAATACCCTAATATGGCAATGTAGCAGGGACCCCAATGTCGAAAGGCAAAAATGACTCCAAGGTACCCATTAGAATCAACTACAAGAGTAAACATGTGTACTTCTCTTCAATGAACCAGCAACCTAAAACTGCCCCGCTTCTTCTACCCCCCAAATTCAGCACCACATTGACTCATCTAAGAAATCAAACTCGTCGTTAAAGAATGTGGGCGCTATAAATCATCGCGTGATGGTCAACACGGCAACACCCCTTTCTCCTGCGACTCATTCTCAAATTATAGAACAAAACCTCACTAAAAAAAACAAAGAGAGAAAATTACCCAGCGCGCAAAACCCACCAAGACCCGCGCACCCAAGTGCAGCACAAACTTCAACTGCAGCCAAGCTCACGGTGAGAGATTCATGGCACTTACTGGTCACGAGAGAAGGGATTCAGCTGCTCCAGGTCTACCCACGAGTGCAAAAGCACACAAATATGACCTGCGATCCAATGAAAGAAAGAATCCCACCTTGATGACGGCGATTTCAAGCATAAAATTCGAGCTGTGTTGGGCTATTGTATGAAATTGTCGGACCTACGTCGGTCGAGGGAGGGTATCTTCCACCAAGCTGAGGGACCAAGCCAAGAGGTACTGATACCCTGGTCCAAAAAAGTTATGAATGAGCATGACAGTGTATGAATAGAATATCGTTAGAATCTACCCGTCTGCGAACTGAGGATTCGGACACCTGCAACAATCTGGTTTTGAGAAGCACCGAGCAGTATATAGTTTCAATCAGTTACTCGAAGTTGTCGTGTCTCTGCAACATAAGAGTTCACTTATTTCCCTTGAGCTGCATTTTGCCATTATCTGCTTCAACATCGAACTTGCATCACTATTTATAAACAATCTCACAGTCCACATCACCACAGAGCTATTTTACTGCGTGGCTGTCCTATTCATTGAGAATTGTCGTCTAATTCTGGTGGTGATTTTACCAAAATTTGAAATCTTCGATTACAAACCAAAAGGGAAAATGTGATCTGCGTTCCACTCACCGCTCGGAGTTCTTTCTCTGCTCGAGCATCTTCAAAGTAATCTTCCTGATGTGACCAAGTTCAGGGTTTAGGGCTTAGAAAGGAATCCTTGATCCACACAAGAGAAACTGTTTCCTCTTCTGTCTTTCCGATATGATTGTGTTAGAGGTGCTACATATTTATCTTCTTCATTGACGAACTTACTGTAGAAGTTGCAGGCGAGGTATTCGGCATGCTATTCGGATCATTCTGAAGGAGTGCCCGTGAAATGGAACTCTAAACTTTTATGCAAGGTTTAATTCACTGCTCAACTCCACCATTGTGAGGTCAAAATAGCGCTGTAATCATGGCAGTTGCTGCTGTGTTCCAGGTTTTTACTGTCCTCTTGTGTTTTGTGATGCCGCCAGATTGTGTGACGGTTGAAGGACGCAACTGTATCTTTGCTGAAAGAGACAACTGCTTCGGTTGTAAAAAAACATCCTAAATTTGAGTTGTCAAGCTGCAAATAACAATATACTTGACCTTGCACGGCTATCACGACAACTCGGTCTCCGTAGTTCAAATCTCAGGCCTCTAAGAAATCACAGGGAAAGTCATCCTGGACTTGTTCATCGAATGCGGCCTTTATGAGCTGATGACCAGGCAACGAATGAAGTAATGCAAGTTAATCAGACATGCTTTCACAGCATGCAAAAACAACTATTGCTTGTGCCCACATCTCCCCCCAGTATTGCCTACCCTTCCACGACCATAATGCTCCGGGTTTTTAGACTTTCTATTCGAACTCAGTCCCAGAGAATCTTGAGTTCCTGACATTACATTTTTACCTCGCAAACTTTTCAGTTATGATAGCTCACAGTTTACGAGCGCAGTCGTCGGAACAACGTTATGGTAGAATACCTCTCGGACCCAGTTGATAGGCAGGAGAGTTGTGGACGGAGGAACCATTTCAGCTCCACTTCTTCCGAGCTGCGGCGTTTTCCCCCGACCTCACCATGCAGTGCCGCATTGAGCATGCCGTGGGTAGGCAAGAATTTGAGTCGAAATTAGGATTCCTCTCTTCCCAAGTTATTCAGCACCGTGTGCGGGACCTCAGGGTTTCTCCTGTAACCTCTGGATTCCGAGCCTTCACGCACAAGAGGTGAGTGGGTTGTGTTACTGTGGAGCGTTTGTGGGTCTGGTAGCATGATTGGGTTGGTAGGATGTGAGCAAAGCCTACTTTATTCGTTTCAACTTGAAGTTGAGCATATTTTGGTTGACAATGCGGTTCCCCGGGAATACAATTTCACCACCAATTTAAGTCGAATATGTCCTTCGGTAGAGCGCGGACGCCTATGAGTTTTTACACTAAACCCTGACGCGTCAATCCACTCTAAGCGCTCAATTTCACATTTTGGATAGGAGCTACTTGAATCAGATTCCTTCATACCATGCTTTATTGTCAAGAAGCTCAACTTTATTGTAATTCGTTGCAGAAGTTTTGTGCAATGAGAGTCAGAATGCTGTTGCATTGAAATCATCAATTTTTTAGATACCAAGTTTTGTTTTGCTTATGCTCGTTATATCCTGGATTTTGCGGAACTTTTCTCAATTCTAGTAAGAGCTCGCAACTGTATTCTGGGTTGGTTTCAGGTTTGGTTGCCGATGGGTTCAAAGCAACGGAAGCACTCACACAAAAGAGTCCAATGTATCGATTAGCAACACGAAGGTGGAGAGACTTAGGAATTGGCTAAAAAAATTGAATCACGACGATTGCAACCTCAAATTGGAGCGGTGTCCTCAGGGAGGCTCAGGGTCTGGCTATGGAGCTTTCGCAGGTCCAGGCGGTGTTGGGAATGGCAGTACAATTGTCAAGGTGCCGAGGAAAGCTTTGATGACTGAAGAGGTAACTAATCTTTCGCAATCTCTTTGGAATTCCCCGGTTACACAAATTTGAGAACATTTTACATCGTTCGCATTGTGACACAGACAGCAAGGCTATGTCAGGACGTCGGACCACTGGTAAAGAAGAGTGACTTAACGCCATGGCAGGCCATGTGCTTACATTTGCTCTACGAGCGGGCTCGCGGTGAAACGAGTTTCTGGTACCCTTATATTGCAGTTCTTCCTAAAGAGCTTGAACTTATTGGTATACATCCAATGCTTTGGTCGCAGGTTAGAACTTGTCCTCATCCTTTCGGTGCTATTCACGAAATCGCTCTCTCGACAAATGGTGATGTACTCAATATCTGCCGATGTGAAGCATTGATGAAATCCTGGTTTTGGGCAGAAAATGAGGCGGGAGTGGCTGGAGGGCTCCCCCATGTTGGACGTCACAGAGAGGAGGCTGGCCATCTGCAGGTTCTTGCATTTCACTTGAAGAAGACTTCTATATATTTGTTTTCCTTGCTCTGGCGTTTTGATGAAGTTTGACATTTTCGGTCACATATATCTAGCAATTAATATAATATAGAAAAGGAAACAATCATATTTTGAGATGTAACCCAAAAGCGAAGGACTAAGCAGGTGGCTGCAGTTTTTAGGGAGGACTATGAAGCCATGCTTCTGGCAGGGGCGGGAAGGTTGACTCCAAGGGGAAATGAGGGCGAGCCAATATCCATCACAGAGACAGCGGTTCAATGGGCAGCCACCATGTTGCTGAGTCGGTCTTTTTCTCTGAATCTTCAAACTCAGGTGCCCAATTCTTTGTTCTCAGTTCTTGGTTGCAACGGCTTCCGTTTTTTTATCACTTTGAAAGTCAGCGTCCTTACTCCATCTGTCGGCGTTATGTTGCAGAAATTGCGGCCAGGAAGTTTTGCAGAGGATACAATTGCACTGGTCCCGTGGGCAGATATGCTGAACCACAGTAGCTCAGCTGGAAGGGAGTCATGCCTGGTATACGACCAAAAATCAGGTGTGGCTACTCTACAGGCTCATCGTACATACTCAGAAGGCGAGCAAGTTTTCGATTCTTACGGACCCAGTTGTTCACCTTCGAGGCTACTTCTTGACTACGGTTTTGTTGATGAAGAGAATACGAATCACTCCGTGGATTTGCCGGTAAGAAGAAGCTCCCTATCTCTCTGTTTGTATAGGAAGCATTGATCCCTGCAGATTGAACTCTTGCACGTCGTGAAACTAATCATACAGCCTTTACTCTTACAGGCGTCCGTATTAGGGCCTGTAAATAGCAAAGCAAACGAGTTGTTGCTGGAGGCAATGGGGCTTCCTTTAGGTGAACCTCTCAATCCAGTCACAGTCTCAACCATCTCCTAGACTCAAAATTGTAGGAATCATGCATTGAATCTGAGATATATAGATAGGTAGATAAATAAATAGATAGATAGCTGAATACCGAAGATACTGATTACAGTGATTTCACCTTCAATCTGTCAAACTATATTGGATAAGACATGCCTCGCCATGTGATGCAGATGGAGCAATCTTCTCTTTGACCTCTGCTGGGGTCGACGAGAGCGTGATGGCATGGACAAGGGTTGCAGTTGCCACAAGACAGGAGCTCTACGATGCAGGCTGGAAAGAAGGTATCCGGGAAAGAGCAGCAGGGTATCCTAGTGCAGCCACAGTGATGTTCCGATTCTCAACTCCCATTAATCGTGATAATGAAAGTGAGGTAGTGACAGGTCCAACTCCCCCAAATCGCTCGTGTTCTCACAGCTTCGATGTAGCTTTCTTACGACAATGTTATCGTACGTAGTAGTTCAGCACATGCAACTTCTGGATAATGGTGCCATTTTCCTCCTTGAGAGATGGAGAATTCCTCACCTCTGCATTCACACTGATGCGACTGTCGTCTTATCTTAGAAAGAGTCTGAAATCTCCTAGTTCCCAATCACTCGTCAAATGTCTCATTTTGACGCTCACTATTACTGCTCCACTCTTTTGTACACAGGTATTGCGAAGATTATTGTCGACTTGTGAGTTCCTGTTGCAAAAGTATCCAACCACGTATGAGCAGGACATGGATATGTTGGCAAGGCCAGGCCTGGTAATGCAAACCTCTGCACACTACACCATCAGTGGAGAGTTCGCTGTTTTCTGTGAAGTCTTAGTTGCAACATGGGTCAGATCTTATTTATTTTTAAAACGATAAACAAATAATATCAGATCTCGTTATGTGCATCAGTCTTTCTCCAGCTTTTACACGTCTGATGTTCGTTGGACATTGTGGCAGACATTGCCGTGGGGAAGAAAGCAGGCCTTGAGAGCCCTCATTTCAGAGAAATTAGCCTTACGAGATTCACAGCAAACGTTTAAGAGGATTCTGACCAAGCTGCGTTCAGGAGCTTCACTAGACTCTCTGTATCGGTAAACTCAGTCCTAAGCTATTGCTTTCCATTCTCTGGTCTCAATTAATGAATGCAGAGCTAGATTTCTTTTTAAGCTTTGAGGGATACATTAGTGAAGTGGATGAGGTGTCTGTCTATTGGTGGCATTGGGCTGGACAAGAGAGTAATATGAATGTCATACCCCACAATCTTCCAGAAGTTACACTTTTCTCAATGCTCCTTGTGTTACCAAACGGCATCAAAAAATGTGAAAACTTGTGTTTGATAACGTCATGGAGCATAGATACAACTATGCTGCTCATGTGAAAAGTGTTGATTCATATTTATTCTGAGTTTTGAATTCTGCCCTGTGCATAAACTTTTATAAAAGAGAAAATTCAAACCTTAAAATAAATTTTGAGTTATATATATGTGTGTGTGTGTGTGTTGTTTTTGAAAAATTATATAAATAAATAAACGAATGAATTTCCTTTCTATTTTTCTTATCAGTCATCTTAGTTATGTTTTGATTTTTTTTATTATTTTTTTTCGTATTTTTGTGTTTTTAATGTATTATCAAGAATATTAAGTTCTTTGTGGAATTTGGTTCATTTTAGTATGGTAAAAATGAATTGTTGTATGTCACAGGGTTGTTTCTACAAATTTTATATCCATTTTTGAGTTCAGATTTTTATATTCTCTTTTATGTTTCAAATTATGGTTCATTATTCATGTATGCATTGATATCACAAACAAATGTACAATTCTTCATGTAATATTATAAAATTAATTCAATTTTTCATTTGAAGCTGTGTAATTAGGAAAACGTTTTTTCTTTTGGTAAATGCAATGTAATGATTGTTTGAAATGCAATTGTAAAAGAGATTAAATTTTATTTTATTTTATTATTAAAAACACACATTTTCCCAAAGAAGAGTAGATGTCAAACACAATAATCACTTTATTATATATTTACTTTAATATCTTCAAGAAGTACCACCATTCAATGTATGTGCTTTGTTCATTCATTCATATATTTGTTATTTGATTAATTTTTAAATTGGTTTTGATTTTTTAGAAATATTTGAGGCCACATCTCTTAACTTGCAATATGTTTAGTTGCATTAGAAAAGTTAATGCAAACACTTGTTCTTTGACATTATCAAAGTACTCTGCATTTTTTAGTTGGGACAATTTTTCTGTTTTCTTGCCTTTTTAATGCCCATAGTACACAAGTTTTGTTATATTTTAATAGTCCAATTTGTACTAATATCCATCATGAACTTGATTTTGATTTTTACTTTATGTACAATAGCAAAAGTAATGTGGATATCATTTCTATGTATAGAATGAGAGTACAAATGTCACACCTCTATCTCCATATATATATATATATATTTTTTTTTTGAGTAATATTTGTACTAATAAGTGTATATGACTTATATCAAAACAATGAATTAGATGTGGTATATATAGATCAAGTGCTTCATGAAGATTTGGTAGAATAACAGGAAGTCAAAAAGAAAAAATAATCAAGCAAGAAAATAAATGAAATTAAATATATATATATATATATATATATATATATATAATCGTACTATTAAAACATCTATCTACTAATGGGCATCTATTTCTTTACAAACTACACATGAAGATACTAATTATTAAATTATCACGTTGTTATAGCAAGTATTAATATTATTCATATTCAAAATATTTTATTTTATATTTGAAAAAATGTTACAATCAAGTGGACATCAGAATAAGCAAAACTCTAGAAAAAACACATAGTATTAAAATATTGCAAATGAACAAGATACTTGATTGAAAATCTTAAAACTATTTTTTTAGCTTACACTATTTTTTGCTTTTGTTGAATATGAGAATTTTATCTATACTTGTGAGTTCAAGAGTCCACATCATATTATCATGTTTCTTGAAGTTACACCTACAAACACAATAAATGATTAATTTTTGGAATTTTAAATTCTTGTTCATGAAATAAATAAATAAATAAAACTCTCTTCTATTATTTGTCTACAAATATAAAAATATAAAAATATAAAAATAGATTAAATAAAATAAATATCTATTTGAGTTATTAAGAAATATGAAGTTATAAATGATGTAGTCATGGAAAACAGTTTCACATGATTAAAATGCCTGAACAGTATTTGGCTTCATAAATACATGTTTGGCATATATATTAGAATTTCAAATAATATATGTTAAACAAGTATTCATGGAATTTATTTATTCTAAGTGATGGCATGCTCTAAGATCTTTGATGTTTCTATATTTTATTAATATTTTAAAATTTGTTTTACAATTTAATTTTAAAAAATTAATCATTAAATTTAGACTAGGAATACAATGTGTAATGTTTTTAAAAATCGACTTTAACATGGTTTACAAGGTTTGTGGGTATATACACATTTTTTTACATGGATTCATTAATGATTTATTTAGATCTAATGCAGATGTGAAATTTGAACTATACATTATTGAGTACTGAAATGTCCAAATAACATATCCAAGTGATTGTATATATATATATATATATATATATATATATTCTACTTTAATACACAATTTGAATGTCAAATTTTCATGGATTGATTGTGCATAAATTTATTATATATATATATATTTATTTGTATGTATATATATATATATATATAGAGAGAGAGAGACTCAATATGTGATGTAGATTCTTGTCTTGTTAATACATAGATATTTTTATAAGATAGATTGGTTGTGGGCAAAAGGCATCAATGGTTTATGGCAATTGGAACAAGTACAAGATAGAAATTACATGGCAACTAGGATTTATGGAAGTTGGGACTTTAGAAAAAATTCAAACTAAAATAGTCTATCCTTGAAAGAGTCTTGTAAATGCCAAATTATTATTTTTGTAATATACTATACAAGATTGCTTAAGAATGTCGAAAATAAAAATAAAAAATAAAATAAAAAAATAGTGGCTAGAAGTTTTAATTTTGCACTTTTTAATTCTTGTTGTTGTTGCAGTAATATAGCCTTTAAGATTTTCTATGTATTCACTTTTATTAAATATCTTCTATGAAGATTGAGATCGTGTGTTTATTGATTTTTAAAAAAAATTATTGAATGGCTGTAAGTTTTAAAATTATTTACAAGTAAGAATATATTTATTTCTAAATTTTAATTGCAACTTGTTGATATTGATTTGTCTAGGTCTTTTTAGCCTACTCAGAATAAATAGTACTCCTTAATAATTATTTGTTTATTTTCTAATTAAAATAAATTAAAAAAAACACATTAAAGAAATTCAGAATATTTTAAAGAAGTATCGATTTTCAGTAACACTTAAAATAAACTAAAAATAAAGAAAAAAATTCATAATAATAGGACATAAAGAATTAATCTTTACATATATTCAAAAGTATTTAAATTAATTTGAATTTATTTATTCCATTGATCTTATTAACTAATAAGACAAGACTAACTATATAATAGAAATTTTACTTGTTTTTTACTAAATAATTTTTAAATTTATGTGAATAATTTTTTCCTCAATATGTTTATATATCCTATTTTATAGGTAGCATTACCTTATATTCTAATAGCATTATTAAAAGAGTGCATACATTCTTCTCAAACTATGAAACACAGATATTTTTTCTCATTTATATATGCTTATTATGATTAAATATATTTAAAATTTGAATCTTTAAAGAAAAACCATTTATTATTTTTATTATTTTTTCATAATTTGAGTGGTATAAAAGTTTCCATACTGTTAGTTATTTTTCTATATATATATATATATATATATAATTCCTTGCATAAGTTTAAGAATATGATTGTAAAATTGTGTATAATTTTTAAGAGCCTACAAACAGAATAGATCCCTTAGCTAAACCACAATCCAATAAACACAGAAATCAATTCCTTTAGGTTTGAAAAAGAGGACATTACAAAAAGGCATCCAAATTACGAAGATATCATGTCCGCATTCCAGTAGCTAAACCTCCAACGAGATGAGAACTACGCCAGATGTGTATTAATTACACCAACACTATTTGAACCCATAACGCTAATTTCCGTGGCTAACGAATTGGTCAGACAGCACGTTCGCAATAAATGCGAACATCAATAGAGCCGCCAGAAATTGCAAAACCGGAAGTCATCATGGAATAATGAGGTCGAGGGATGGGGCAGGATGACAGTGACCCCCGGGGGCCAATAGAAACTGGACACTGTGGAGGACCCGGGATCCGGGACCCGCGAATAGGGAACTGGCGGCGGGATGAGTGACATGGTTAGTGAGGTCGCAACAAACTAATTTGGGGGTCGGAGGGGTGCTGATTAATCAATTAGTTAACTAATCTTGCCTTCCTTCCTGCCTTCCTTCCCAGCCTCTTGAACTCTCACTCCCCGTCCTTCTTGTCTTTTGAACGCCACTTCTCGCTCTCCTTTCTTGTTGCTTCTGCGAGGGGCTATGGAATGCCGGCTGTTGGAATTTCTCGCACCGCTTATGTTTCTGCAGATCACATTCGAGCCTCGTTCTCTGCCTTTCCGGTGAGTCGCGCGTGCTGTGCATTTGGTCGCGGTTGGGAGCCTTAGTGTGGAAAGAACGCTGGGAGCGAGGTTGTATTGGTTGCAGTCTGCTTCTTGGCTTGCGGTTGTGTGTAAGATTGTGTAGACTCTGAGGTATACATTGTTTGTTATGCTGGAATTATCTGTTGTGGAGATTTTTGGTTCTATTAGTCTCGGTCTCTGTTAGTTTCTTTTCGGGTTAGTCTACAGATTACGACGCTCTGACTTGTTGACGTCCGGGATTTCGTTTTTTCCCATTGGATTTATAGCTCTGTTGAATAGTCTGAAGCCACAGTGATTTCGTCGTAGGGCAGGAACGGGGATGCCGGAGGTCGATGCGGGAGTTTAAACAAGTAATTCGGTATTTCTCAATTCTATCCAGTAATGTCGAACTACTCTGTCTTCCTCGTTTGCACATTCATCGATTGCGAGCGAGATGAATTAGTTTTTCTGCATTCGGATATCGTGTCCCGTTGTCACCCCTGTATCATCATTGAATATTTCAAGTCTTCCAGACATTCTTCAACTTTCAAGACTCTGTATGGAAAGCTTCGGTTCTCTTAGTAATTGTGGCCTGTATGTCTTACGAGCTTTTCCTTCGTGTTGTAAGGCTATCTGAAGAGTATGGTCATGGATTCTAGACACGTTCGCTACAAGCGTGTAATACCGAAGGAGTTCCGTCTGCCATTCACTTCGGAGGACGGTTCTGCAGGATGGACATGCTTTACATATACTATTCGATTTCTAAATTTCAAGGCAGGAACGGATCCAATACAGCAGTCAGCCTCCGAATTTCTACTTTTATCTCCCCAACTGCTTGACGAAGAGGTGTCGAGTATTAGTGTGCATCTTAATCTTCCAGCCTTCGCTGCAGTGGACTCCAAGTTAAACTACTGCGGAGTGTTAAATGTTAGCCCTGAGAAAGTAAGTTTACGACCTCTTGATGTGAACATCCTCAGTTTTGTGCAAATCCCTGTGTTCCACTGAATAACACGTTGTAAGTGACTAAATTAGTGTCAGCTTTAGTAATCGATCACATTACATATTAAGCATTGTCTAAATATGAATTGTGCACGGAACGATTGTGGACAGGTGGAGACTGTGAAGAAGTTTAACATCTGGTTATTTCATTTAGCAATGGGAAAGTGCTTCGCCTTACCGAAAGTGTCCGGCGAAGGAAAAAAGAATTACTATGTTTTACCTTGCAAGCCTATCACAGGTGACACGGTTCCAAGCCCAGAAGAGCTGGTTGATTGGCATGTCGTGGAGATAGCGATTACTTCGAGCTTACTGTACAGAAGAAAAGTACCTTTTTTCGGAGGATACGCTACTCTAGACTGTCAAAATACTCAAAGTAACGAAGCACTCGATGGTGGTGGGCTGAGGATGCGGAACGGCATATTTCAGGAGCATGACCTCGAGGATGCAGTTGTTACATGTGCTAACAATGGTTTACCTTGCTTCGTTTCTGGTATCTTGCACGATCTTTCGGGCAGCAGTTTTTGTTCTCAATCTGCCGGACGCAAACAGATCAGCTATTCGGATTACTACTTTCATGAGTATGGCTTTGTTGTTTGACCTCTATCTCTAGTCACTTTGCATTCGGAAACAAACAAAGAGAACGAGACTATTTCCTTTATGCTAAGTGTTTACTTATTTTTACAATTTTTAATTCCACTATTCCTACTTGTTATCTTTTTTCAGGATATATATCTGTTGTGATGAGCATCACACGTGCTGATCATATATTGTAAAATTCGCTGTGGCAGGTGCAAATACAAACTAGAATACCCCGACCAGCCTCTCCTTAAAGGATATCGACTGGTACGAGCTGGCAACTACGTACGGCGAACATCTGCAGTATCAAATGGTTCGGAATCAATGATTTGCTTTCGACGGGCGAGAATTGTTCTCTTTTTTCTAGAAACGTAGTGAGAATCGTTGTCTATCGTCTTCACAACATTCGCAGCATAGAAGTTGACGATTGCACTTATGCTGACCTTATTCATGAACTCTGTGGAGCTAATAAAAATTCTTTTAAACATAAAGGATATGTCGTATGGGATGCTGGGACACGAAGGCTTCCGACTCCAGTGGGTTGTCTTCGTCCTAATGGATATGAATGCTTTATCTGGACTTATCAGGTGATTCGGTGAAGCCATGGGAAACAATGGAGCTTCCGCCTGAAGTTTGCATACTGCATGTGGGGCTAAAAGGGAAGCTTTGCAGGGGGGGTATGCGTCTTCCATCTATACTTCACAGTTTAGAAATGTCACTGGTGGCTGCGGAGCTTCGAAACAACATAGGTTCCCCTCTGTCCTGTTTTAAGGTAGATTTGCACAGTGGTTCAAAATGATTTTGATGCGTTCCACTTTGCTGTTGTTTATGTTGTCTGCTCTAGGCTCTAATCTGTAACGGTTGTTTTACACTTCGAATTGTTTGGTGTATCTTTAGGACAATTCTATACGAGAATCAGTATGCCACCATCTTCAAGCACTTGAAAGTGAAGTGAAAGTGTATAGAACGTGCGTCTAAGCAGTGATTGGACCCCAGTATAATTCACTCGTGCGTTTTGGCATACACCCACACAGAACAGCGAATCCTCAAGGCCTAAAAGTGGGGCTCTTACGCAGGTCCAGGAAGCATTGACATCGGGGGCATGTGAAGGGAACCACTCATACGAGACTCTGGAACTTTTGGGGGACAGTGTTCTCAATTTTATTGGAGGCGTCCACATGTACATTGATTTCCCTTCTTGTACCAGCGAGTTGCTTCATTCATACCGTCATGATTTAGTCAGTAACAGGAATTTGTACAAGTGTGGACTTGCTTGTGGACTTCCTGGATACATCTTTGCTGAACTGCTAAATACCAAGACGTGGGTGCCACCGGGTCCAGCTCTGGAAGACCTCCCTCAAAAATCGCCTGTGAGATGAATCCTTTGAGCATTTGGTCGTGATGTATTCTTCTTGTTGCGATCACAGTATCCTGAATTTTCAGTTCCTAGGATGGATAATCTCAGACAGCTCTGCAAAATTTATAACCTCCAAGCTGGTCTACTTGGGCGACTTGACTACCCACTTATGCCAATATTGCAGTCCTCTGCTGAACCATATCTTCTAATGAATTCTTATATGCTTGTTTATTGACAGACGCCTTTAATTGCAGGATGGGCAAGTCATTGGACTCAAAACCCTTGCGGATGTCGTTGAGGCCCTGATAGGGGTTACGTTTTTACATGGAGACTTAAACTCTGCAGTGAAGACAATGGTTTGGCTGCAAGTGCCAATTCCTTTTCCTGAAAAAATTCCTGAAGTGATTATTGCTGACATACAGGAGCTAATGGAAGCTAGGAATACTTTCAAAGATCATGACATAGTAACACTTGAGAAAAAAATTGGTTACCAGTTTAAATGCAAAAGTCTTTTGCTATCAGCTTTTGATTATGGTGACGAAGTCACCTTCACACAGAGCGGTGTACCAAGAGGAAGTTTTCAGTTTCAGAGGCTAGAATTCCTAGGTGAGCTCTTCATAAAGTTGAACATTTGTGCTTTTCTGGTCCTCGGTTGCTAATGTGAGTTATCTGAACGAGGTGACGAGTAGTAATTTCAAGTTGACTTTAAAAAAGTTGTCGCAGTTTAAACCAAGTCTGCAATGAGACATACCGAGTAATTTATGTCTTCACAATACATCTTCTAAATCTTCTAAATCGATGAATGACCACCTTCCTTTGCTCTTTTTGACTTTTTGACGGAATTTCTTTGCAGGAGATTCCGTTCTTGATTTCTTGATTATGCGGCACTTTGTGCAGCTTTACTCTGCATTTAATCCGGAGCAGCTGAATGATTTGCGACAGGCAACTGTGAACAGTGAAAACTTTGCATGCACTGCGATTCGTCACGGATTTCATCATTACTTAAAGAGGATGTCCCCTATATTACGGGACGAAATTGAATTGTACGCAGCTTCAGTTCATAGGGAAGGTGGCAGCCCTTTTGGTATACCAAGTCGAGCATCTCCCAAAGTGAGTTTGTTTTGTCACCTCTTTGGTTCTTGTTGACCAATTATTGCTTGGTTTACTCACCCGCAGGGCACATCTCTGACATGTGAGCACTGAGTGTGTGTTCGAGTTCAACTTGCATGTGGATTACAGTGACTGTAGGTATGTATTATGAGTTAAACTTGGTTTTAACAAGTTGGCTTTTAGTTTCTTATGTTCAGTGAGTGCTAAATCTCAGTCAATTTCCCTTTTAAAACTTTTTTCCTCTTCTATTGCGGACATCGGATATGTGGAAGAATGTTGTGAGAACCGGGTGAGGATTGTATACATGCAGGCTATTGGGGATTTGATGCAGACCTTGGCTGGTTCTATACTACTCGACTCAAATTTTGATCATGACCTCGTCTGGAAGGTAAGGCAACAAATGTATCATTTAAGGTTTGCAGAATCGGTCTGATACTTCAGAAGTGGATGCCCACCTGGAGCGTTGTATTTGCTTATGATGTTCCTAGAAATCATCGGTGTTTTTCAAGGCTCTGAATGTATCTGTGTCATGCATGATAGATTGAGTTCTACATCAGTTCTTACGAAATTCGTACAGGTACTTAAACCATTGCTTAGTCCCCTCGCCACACCTAAGACAGTGATGCGACATCCACGACGCCTGTTAGAGGCATTGTGCCACAAGCAAGACCTCAAGCTGGAGTTGCAAACTATTCAGCTGGAAGGAGCTGTGGAAGCTAGGGTTTATATAAACCAAATTTGTGTTGCCAACTCTAAGCATTATGAACCTACTGTTGCAAGACGGCTTGCCGCATTCACGGTAATTTTGCTGGATTCAAGTATCGTCAAGTGCTTTATAGAAGGCATCTAGGAAGTCTGGACATGCTTCATTATTTTCTGAATAGTCCAAGTTAGTTGCTTTGCTTAGTGTTGGTATCCATTTCATCATGGCCATAAAATATCCAAATGAGATAGTCTTGTTTGTAGCCACTGCAACCTCATTTTTAAATTTTTTTGGGGGTTTGTGATGCAGGCTTTTCGATCATTGTCACCAAAGAGAAATGGTCTTATGTATCTCGACTCTGTGGACTAAACTTTCGGTGATAATGTCCGCTTCAATTTTGAACTATTGTGAATCGTAAGTGATCTGGTTTATGTTGCTCAAGAAGTCACTGCTTCGAACATCATCTCTCAGATATTTAGGTTCGTGTCAACTTTACAGCTCAGACTAAGACAGTGTCTTGCAGAAGATCACGGAGTTGGGGCTCCGAAAACGGCTAGAACACATGGAACTGGAGCAAGGTTCCCTCAATGTACAGTTCCAGCCTGCATCCAACTAAGTTTCTAGACACAGCTGGCACGAACCCCACTCTTACGCTTCAAAGCGTCGTATCAAATTTCTGTTTGTTCGGAACATGATTTACAATTTGAATTCTTCCTATTTCATGGACTTTGATGCTGTTCTTACACAAGAAGTTGTTTTGCAGTTTAATCACAGGGAAACAGGCTTCTCCAATTTTAGTTCCTTCAATTTTGTCAATTATATCGATGCTGACGTTTTTCACAAGACCTTGGCCACTTGGTGGAGAAGGGGATTCTGATTACTAGGTGTATGCCTTTACGGCGAACAATCTGTCTGGAGAGGCACCATGACTAAAACAATGAAACACATCACATGATCGTTTAATTTCTAGCTGCAAATCTTAACCACGCTTGATGGATTTCGACATAAACAGGTTTCAAACAAATATAAATAAATAAGTATTATGTTCAATATATGTACACTTTTAAAATCCCTTTTGATCATTACATTTTATTTACGATTGAAGTACATCCATAACTTATTATGAATAAAATTTCGAGTATTTTTGTATGAAAATTAATCTATTGTATAATCTCAAAAACAGTAAACATATTGGATAAGAAAATATGATTTTTCGTTGGAACAAATGTACACAAAATTGTTTTGTCGAGAGGATGAAGCATCGTCATGCTAGGAACTTAACCTGCGCGGATATTTCTAATATCTCATAATCAAAGATGCAACAAATGAAACACAGAATACATAAAACAATAGTAGTGCATGTGTTTGCATTGGAGAATCGATTGTTTTAATGTTGCAAGCTTTGCATGTCAAATGCATCTCAACTCCTAAAACTTGAGTATGTAGATTTCAGAAGAAGGATTGTGCTAGGTAAGACCATCACACAGTAGCCACAGAAAAGCAGATTATTGCACATTCCGCATCATTGAGTTGCAAACGGCATCATTGAGTTGCATAAAGCGTACAGACCCGAGACAGGTGAAATGCTAAGTGAGTACTACCAAAAAAGTACCTGAACGTGTTGTATTTGCAAAACGGCAAACGGCACACTGCATGAAATGCAATTCGGCTTCAGGAAGGCCTTTCGAGTGAGTGGCTAGTTTCTTCAATAGCTTGAGTGAGTAGGAGCCTTGTTGGATAGGAAGTAGTTTAGCAAGCCCAAGGGCATTGAAGTTGGAATGATGGCTTTCATTCAAGCAACCTGAATCAGGTTCACATCTGCGAATGTAGCGGAACAGCGGTGTTCAACAGGCAACGAATTCTGGTTCTCTCTCTCAGATTCCTGGATCATCTTCAACAACGATCTTTATTTCTCACATATCCTATTTGTCGAAGACACATTTGGATGTCTATCTTTGGCTTTTGGCTCCTTTTTAAGCACTTGGAATTTTCAATAACTATGTTTGCAGTGATTTTGGACGCAGTCAATGTTGTATCCCCTGATTCACGAGGATCGCTTCACGCCTTGTGTGATATAGTTTATGGGGTCCATCTAAAAATATCACAGAAATGTGGTTGACTTGTGAGATCTGTGTGCAAATGTCTTTCTCAAACTCAATGATGCTGCCCAAGGCTTGATACTGTCTTGTTTTGGGGATTTTCTAAGAGCCCTCTTAGTTGTATGGTCACTCATTTATTTCTGACACTGGAGTGAAGTGCTGGACACCTCTAATCGTTGTCATATTTAGTTCTTCTGTGTGTTACACTTTCTGTATTCCTGAAATACAACACTTATTGTGAATACATGCACTGTAATCTTTCTATCGTTCTAAACGCCATGGCAGTTATTATCTGTTCTCTCACGCAGAAGTTCATTCCTGTGGCTATCATCGTAATTAGATCATTTCTTCTTGGAATGCAAACGTTGTACGTATGGTTTGATTATTTGTTCATTATGAGATTGTTGCATTTCTAGTTGATATACTTCTCTCAATATTTCTTGAATTGACAGCATATCGGACTTGTATTTGCAACATCACCTTCTGTTACATAAGAGGTGTATTTAAGGTTTTCATTAAAATGTGTCCCCGTGTTGCTATGACATTAAATGTTCTAGAACTTTAAAACCTAATGGAATCAAATGGACGCAGTATATGCCAGATATATTGTTCTTGTACAAAAGGACATAATTTTACATGTGGGATCCAATGCAAAACGTGTCACAAAATAGTACTCAGACAGTATGACAGAAGGAGCTGAAAGAAAATGATACTCCAAGAAAAGTAGTGAATCCAGTACATTTTTCGCCCTCAGAAGTTGAATGGAGCAGTGCACAGAAAAAGGTGTCCCGACAGTCCAATGCTAATAACTTCTGCTGATACCTTCTCAACCTCTACTAAGAACATCTACCAGAGCTGCTCATTGCAACTGAAGCCAATGTAGCTAAGAAAGTGATTCACCGCCTGAATTTACCTACAACTCACCGCTCTTGGCAATGACACACTTCTTCTTCGGCCTGTCGGTGCGGTCTGTGTCTTGACCCTCAATGGTCTTCACCACATCCATACCTTCAATCACTTGTCCGAACACAACGTGTCGGCCATCGAGCCAGGGAGTCTGCCGAACACAACTTCATGAGTATGGAAAGATGTGCTGGGAGAAACTGCGTCAGGTGTCACTTCTTATACAACTACAAGTAAGCTACATGGAATAATCTAACAATCCCCTTGTATTGCCCACTGCGATTACGAAATCAGGCATCCAACTAAGATAGGACTTCAATTTTTACTCTTGCATCAACACGAGATAAGAACACTAGCGTACCGGGACAGTGCAGAGGAAAAACTGGCTTCCGTTGGTGTTGGGCCCAGCATTGGCCATACTCAAGATTCCCTCTCCAGTGTGCTTCACTGCACATCGATTCAAACCATAGAATAAATTAGGGTCTGTGTAATCGAAACTAGAAAGCACACACAAAACAGTGAGATAACTTAACCACGACTTACATTTGAAGTTCTCATCCTTGAAGTTCTTTGTGCCGAAGACACTGTAACCCCCGGTACCCTGCAGACGATAGGCAAATGCGGAGTTAGTGGGCCGCCAGAGCGGACATCGCGAAAAGGTGGCGAGTCATGAGAACTATTCTGGCATATAAAGACATCAAATTAGACGTCACTAAAATACTATCGATCGTAACAGTGCTCAAAGCTTTCAAGAGGATGTTTCCATGTCAGATGAATGAAAGCAACGAGAGCCAAGACGCACGTTGCCTTTGTCAAAATCACCACCCTGAATCATGAAATTCTTGATGACACGGTGAAAAGCAGAACCCTGGTAACCGAATCCCTTCTCGCCTGAAAAACCAATCAACAGTTCTGGTGGGTTCAATATCACGGCAAGTCGACTTCAATTCGCACGAGACATTAAGATTCACTCCACACCAGTGACGCCATTGCCAGGTGGCGAGGAAATTCCACTAACTAGATAACGTTATGCTACAGGACAGACAAGGAAGAAACTAGTTCAGGATACGATACCATATCCTAATTTCTTCGAAAACAAGAGCGAACCAGACAGTCACTAACCATGGGGAGCTTACAGACCTGTGCAGAGTGCGGCGAAGTTCTCAACGGTCCTGGGGACAACATCACCGAAGAGGCCGAGGACAATGCGACCAGCGGGCTTGCCATCAATCTCAATATCGAAGTAGCACTTCTTCGTCACCTTAGCTTGGGTCTTCACCTCAGCCTGCCATAACCCAACCAAATCGGCTTCGAGAACGTTAAACCAAAGACAGCTCAAAATAAGGAAAAATCCTTAAGAAGTAGCCCATGAACTAAGAGAGATAGAACGATGCCGCAGAACACCGGATTCGAGAACGAACCCACAAAAACACAACAGCACAAACAGCGTACCATTGCCTTGACAGCGAACTGCCTCCTGGACGAGACTGGGGTTGACTCCACGCGCAATCGCTGGCAGGAAGCTCCGAAGGCGCTGGCCGAGAATCCCACTTGCACATGGCGCTTGACGCTCAAACCCGCAGGGTTCACGGAGGTGGCACACGCTTCCACATTGGTCCTCTGCAGGGACACTTGAGAGGCGACATTGCCCTACACAACAGGGGCCAAACTCTCAAAAGTTAGAAAATTGGCAAAAACCCAAATAATCACATTAGAAAACTCAAACAACCCACCTCAAAAACTTCGAATCCTCGCGACAAAAACATAGTACGCCTCTTCAACCACGAAACTAGAAAATACAAGAGCAATACAACCCTACAACCAGAGGAGCCAGTGTCTGCGCAACCGCATTGAGTTCAGCGTGAAGAGCAGAAACGAGGATAGGAGCTTACGAGAATTCCGGTGCAGGCAGCCATAGCGAGATGCGGATGCGGATAAACCCTTGCAAAAATCCGTGTTGCTACCGAAATGAATATCAACAACAAGACCTTAGCACTTCCTTCACGGCGATCTTAACCACCCTCCCTTCAGCTCCACCTCTGGCTAGGGCGGTCGGTGTGCCTGGTAGGTCGATAGTTCCGAGGGGGGGGGGGGGGTGGGTAGGTCGACACGTCGCCCGTTAAGAGCTTCTTTCGGATGATGAGGATGAGAATGGATGTCGTGGATGATGTTCTGAGGGGGATTGTATCCTCGTGGATAGGTTCTGTGATTAGATGAATGAAGGAGGTTTTTCTTCATCGCCTGTGAGCTCTCTTAATTTTTTCTATTATCAATTGTTTAGAGAATTTCAAAGATCTTCTATATGAGTTTGAAAATTCTAGATGGGGTTAAGATTCAGTATTTGAAACTCATCTCTTTTAATTTAGTACATGTTGTCACAAAAATCATTACATAGGATATATAATTTATCAATGTTTTTTAAAAAAACTTATTAGCATTTTTATAGTAATATAAATTTTGAAATGTTTTACTCAAGAATTTAATGAGTTCATGTTAGTGAATAATGAGGTCTTTTTATTATGAAAAATTATTCCAATAGTTTTGAAAAGAAAAGATGAAGTAGAATGCATTTTTTTCTTTCTTTCTACATCACATGAAGAATGTTGTTTGTAGAATTTTCAGTAAGCCCACCTTAAGATATGGTCTTTACAAAAAAAATTGAGAAATTGTGCAAATAATTTCTAAAAAATATATATGAAAATAAAAATAAGAACTTAATTGTGTTGTTACAATTGTTAGAATCAAGATATAAGCTGATATATTTAGACAAATAATAAAGAAGTAATTTGACCTATTTTTCAGAAGAGATGAGTTTCAAATTTATCTTCTTCCTACTTTATATTATTTCTAAAAGCTAAAAAATTTAAATAAGAGTTTTTTCTTCACCAAGCAGGAGACTATTATAAGGCTTTTGTACAGTGGGCTTTTATTCACAAAAAACCCTCTGAATTCTAAAATATAAAACCATGTATAAAATATAAAAAATATTTATAAATACAATCTATATTATTTTTTTATAAATTTTATCAAATATGTATTGAGATTCTTGTATAAAATTTAATTTCTTTCCAATTAAAGTTGCAAACAAAAAAATCAATTTATGCATTAGTTTTTTTTACATACCACATTTTATTGATGTAAAATCATTATTTGGGTTCACACTTCATTTCTTTAAGTTTTTAAATAAATAAATAACTAAAATCACAAAATTTGAAATTTTACATCTAAAAACCTTTAAAATAAAATCTACTAATTGGATAGTTTTAATTGTTTGATTATTCATTATAATTGCAAAAAATCCTTCTTTATATGTACTCATATTGTGTGTAATAAAAATAGTTGAAAATTTCTTAATATAAGCATCATGGTTGTTAATCACTTATATTTGTTTAAAAGTATATTAAGCTTAATTCAATGTTTATATCTACATTCTCTTTTTATTTCATAACTAGCTGAATCCATGTCATTGCATACAATTTAATGTTGGTTTTAATACAATATGTTAGTTTTTCTACAATAAATTATTTTATAATAGAAAATCATGTTAATGAGAATAATATTAATATGGAAAGATAAGAGAAAATTGATAGCTTTAAAAAAATTCACCTACATTAGCAAACAAAAAGAAAAATAAACACACAATAGATTCAAACAATTAAATTGTATAATAGCATTTGGAAGAAGATATCATAGCAATTTCACTACCTTTGTTTTTATTTAATCTTCTCTTTTTCTAATCTTCTCTTTGTATAATCTCTTAGACAAAATTACAATACATGGTGAATCTTAAAACATATGCATGTACATAGTCTATGGTGTATGAATCCACAATCACTTCACCTTCTACTTATCATGGTTCTTCTAATTTCACAACTTCTTAAAGTTTTTTTTTTTTTTTTTTTTTTTTTTTTTTTTTTTTGTAGAGTGATGTTTGAAACAACCATACCATCTTCTACTACTTCACTTCTTAGTCCATCTCTTCTAAGACATCCCATCTAAACAAAAAGAAGGATAGATCTTGTGAACTTCATTATGTTCAAGGTTCTTAAGCAATTGAAGATTACTCACTATTGTCAAAATCAAGACCAAATTAAACAAAGATATCTTCTTCTTATTTTTTTTCTTTTCTTCTAAAGATTTAAGATCAAGTTTGAAAGGTGGCTCTTTAGTAAGTTAAACAATTTTACTCATTTTCTTCTTTAGTGATTGCTTTGGTAGTAGTTTCTTGTTCCCTAATAGAAGGTCAAAAGCTACTCCTACTCCAAATTCAAAGCCGATCTTAGTTTCAAATTTTGCAATATTCTTTGCTGCTTCCTCACTCTAATACTTATCAAAATGCATTGCGATGTGTTATCTTGCATTAAAAATAAGAAGAAAATATATCAAGCTCTTTCAATAGAATGAATATGTGCTAGAGTATTATCAATTATATAGTAGCATTATGGCAAAGCTAGAAGAATAACTATATTCATGAACCACTATATTTCATTGGCTCTTTGTTAAGATTTAGTAATAATTTCCTCTTTTTACTTATTATTTTTGATTATAAAGAGTTCTTATTAAGCTTAGGAAACATAGTATGTGAATCAAGACGTGAGATACCTATTACAATATCTACTTCTCAAAAATACAACAATTGTACTAATGCCATTGCAAAAATAAAATAAAAGATTAGGTGCCCAATGTAGTAGATAGTGCATGAAACCTTACTATACATGTTTTTATTTGTTATTCCAATATTTTTCTTATTTTTGATAAAAGAAATAATATTTCTATTATTTCTAATAAAAAAATAATATTTTAAATGCATCAATATAGAAACACTAACCTCAATTCTTAAAATAAAGTAACTTTGACATAAGTTCTTTCCTGGTGTACAATTGTTCTAGCATCACAACAAAAGTTTTAGAAACTACTACAAAGTTTTTTACCAATTGCAAATTACTTTTGTTAGGACTATCTTTCAAATTCTCTTTTTCAACTAAATTAAAATTTCTAATCAATCCCTTATACATATCAAGAGATGTTTGATTATCCGACGTTAAAGCCTGCAACTACTAAACAAGAGAGATTTCTTTATCTTTGTAAAGACTTAGAGTAGTAGATGGTATGTTTGCAAAATATATGTGCACCTTGGCAACTTAATGCAATCACAATTCTATTGCACATCTCTAGTACAAAGCCAATCCAACATCTTGTCATAGACATATGCATGTAAGCCAATAATTACTTGTATAAATAGATAAAAGTAAGTAGAAGTAGGTAAAAGCAAGTTAATTCTATAATATCTTCTATCAAAGCTTCCTAAAAGCTTTATAGACACTACTTTGACTTTATAGGTGTCTTTAATTGACTTTTTGGGCTAGAAATGTGGTCAACAAGTTGGTCATGTGCCACACATGTTGTTAGCTTGAAGAGCAAGCTAACTATGTGGCCTACATGTAAAAAAACTTGCTTTGTAAGTCAAGGCACGTGTCCTACAAAGTCAACATATATTAGAGTTCATATAAAACATCGCCATATAATCCCTATTTAGATAGTATATATAGATACAAGAGTGAAGCCTTCTTCACTCTTCTCAACTCCTTTCTTGCTTCTAGTCTAGTTTCAAGTATCTCAAGTTTTCTTGTCTTTTAGCAACAAGCCTTTCCAATTTTTTTTAATATACGTACTTCCTTATTTCTATTTTTTCACTCTTTCTTTGATATGGATTTCATTGGTTTATGCATCATCTTTTAATTCATGTCCTTGACAGATTGACAAGAATACACTTATAGTATTAGAAATTTATCTAATTTTGATTAAGAGTAGATTTTCTCTTTCTCATAATAAGACATAAGCATATAAGAAGTTGCGGATTATCTTCTTCTAAATTGATATTGTTCTTAGTATTTTCTTTGTCGTCAAATCCTTTTTTTTTTATTTATCTTGAGTGGTATTAGATATTTTTTTGAGTGTTATTATGGTAGAGCTTGTTGAAATGAAGAGTGCAATGGCAAAAATGTAAGAGCAATTGAAGGAGTTAATGCTTGCAATGCATGAACTTAGCTTACTACCATAAGGATCAACAAGAATGGCAAGAAGTGAAGATATAGAGATGATTAGAGCTGCTTCAATATTTGCACCAAATCAAATCCCTCTACCTATGGTGGAACATCTTTCAAGTGATAAAGAACCAAGAGTTGCCTTACCTGAGAAGTTTGATGGTACAAGATCCAAATTTTGAGGAATTATCAATCAAGTATAACTTGTGATTGAACTTCAATCTCAAAGCTATCCAACTCCAAGATCACAAGTTAGATTCATTGGCACACTTCTTTCAAATTCAGCACTATTATGATTTTCATCTTTTCTTGAACGATGAGATCCAATATTGAATAATCTAGAGGCATTTTTGGTAGGATTCCAGTCCATGTATGGAGAACATGATGCAATTCATGTTTCAATCAACAAGATCTGTGTTTTGCAACAAGACAATTGATTTGTAATGTTATACGCTTCACAATTTTGACAACTTGTAATTGATATCAAATAGGATGATATTACACTTATTAGCCAATTTTTCTATAGATTATAATATGAAGTAAAGAAATTGATGCTCAACTTATTTGATCCTCAAATATTGAGTCAAGCAATTGACTTTGCTGTAAAATGCTACAATCGATTTTTTGAATTTCGATAAAAAGAGACACACAAATGGACCTCAACATTACTACAATTCAATGGCAACACCAATATCTCTTCAACACATACATTCAGAAGCAAAGGATATGCAAATTGATGCGATACATTTTAAACCTCTTATCAAATAAGAAAAGACTCATCGTCGTCAAGAAGGATTATGCTTGTATTGTGGAGAACCTAAATACATTGCTCAATATTGTCTAAAGAAGCAACAAAATCACAAAATGAGGATCACATCTATCAAAGAAGACAATATGTTGGAAAACAAATTTGTCTAGCTATAATAGAAACCATGCAGATAGAATCTTATACAATTTCTAATAAAGGTCTTATCCTCTTCTCACAACCATCTCCTTATTTTATGATAGA